TAACCATTACACCATATACTGGCCCCTATTTTATTTACTTATTATTATTATTATTTAAATATTTTTTCTACAGGGCATATGTACCCATAAGAGAGACACATAGAGAGGGAGAAGAGAGAGAAAGTGAGAAAGCAAGCTGCCAGGCCCAGGACTCGAACAATAATCGGCCATATGGGGGTCCAGCGTCTCACTACTCACTACACCACCTGCTGGCCCCAAGAATAGTCCTTTTTTAGAGCCTGTCTTATTTTATCTAAAACATTTATCAATGTATCATTTACATTTCAAAAATTCTTCAAATTCACTATAAAGTTAAATGATTATCAGAAAATTCAGAGTTGGGTACCCATCACCTTAATCCTTTAGAGATCCATTGCATCCCAAAGTGCCCCTTTCCTTAAACACTTCATTAGGCTGAGCCATACTGGAAAGTCTTCTTAATGCATTTATACTGTAATATGGCAGGAAATGGGGACAGAGCTGGTTTACTTCTTGTGACTTCATTGCTATCTTTATTTTACTCTCTTTGAGGGTCATTGTGATGGATTAGTTGCTACAATTTCTCAACAGTGTGTTCCAGTTATACAAGCACATTTAGGAACCTTAGAATGTATCATCCCTTTCACTATGTTTTGAGCTTTATCTGCCTGAAGAGGGCAGAAAATTAATTCACAAAAGGAAAACTTAGCATTATTTAACTGCATCGGTATTCAATTAACTCATAAAATTTAAAACAGTTTTCCTTAAGCTTTTAGTATCATTTTACCATCTCATTTTTTGCAAATACCACTCTCACTTGTTTTTTGATTAATATTCAAACTCATAAATTTGACAGAATATATTTCCCAAACATTAAAGTATACATAACTAATGAAAAACCAATTTTTTTTTTTTGCCTTATTTGCCTTTTCCAACATGCCAAACACCTAACAATTCAGACTTCTATATGGGACAAATAATATCTTTTAAAAAAAATTATGTATTTTTAAAATCTGCTAAGGATTGAATATTTTTGTCACCCCACCCTCTGCAAATTCATGTGTTGAAGCCCTAATGTGATGGTACATGGAGGTGAGGACTCTGGGAACTAATTATGTTGTGAGGGTAGAACTGACATGATGGAATTAGTGTCTTTAAAATAAGAGGAAGAGCAGTCAGCCCATGGTCTGGTGGTTAGGGGAGCTGGATCCCACATGGCTGACTATGCAGTTCAAGTCCCCAATTTGGCTACTTGAAAAACACACTGGGCTCATGTGCATATGTGTCCAAAAATCCTGAAAGAAGGACGAAGTAGAGAAGTGACTGTAATTATCCTCCCCCTCTGTCTCCTTGTATCTCTGGTGAGCAAATGCACTCTCTGGACAACTCTTAAGGATATACGAGAAGGCTGCTAGCCTACGACGTACAAGCCAGGAAGTGCCCCCTTGCTAGACACCAGATCTGCCAATGCCGTGATCTTGGACTTCCATGCATTTGGAACTATGAGAAATAAATGTTTGTTATTTAAGTAACCTCGTCTATGGTATTTTTATAATAGGAGCCTGAACTAAAGTAAGCTCTAAAAAACAAATCCCCAAACTCTTAATTTTCATTACATCAGACTGGTAAGTTTAGCCATTAAGATTATTTTAAATGTTTCAGACATCTTAAATAAAAAGTATACTTATAGAGGTGCAATAATTACAAAACCTGTACTACTTACTCTTTTAAGAGAACTGGGTGACGAATTTGGGTTCATGATGTAGGAAAAGAAGGTGAAAGACTTTTCCAGGTCTCTGGGTTCTAATGATTTTTTACAATACTCATTATGTAATATCCTACACTAAGGTCTACTGTGCAATATTTCAGTCTTACTCAGGTTGCAGCTGCATATCATATATGTCTCAATAGGGTGGGCAGGTGGTGTGGTGGTAAAGGTGTTAGACTCTCACAAGACCTACAGAGGTTTGAGTCCCAGACCTGGTGGCATGTTTTCTCACATTTCCTTTCTCTCTCTGTCTCTCTGTGGTAAAATTAAAAATAAATATAAATAATAACAAATAAAATTAAGTAAAATAAATAAATATTTTACAAAAAGTGTCTTGATTTGAAGGTTTTTTGGAAATGACATAAAGTTCAATGAGATGAGGTTACCAAAATATAATAGAATGTCCTCTTAAGCAAGAATTGAAGACAAGGAAGAACAAAATCCCTCTCCATTATTTGCCTATAAAACCATGTTTAAGTTATCATCAGTTCTGAATTCCACACTTTAGCTGCCACCTTACTCCACTGGAGTGTGTTTTCAGATAGTCATAAGGGTGAAGGAATCTGAAACTATATCATGTGAGGCAGGGCTGAAAAAACATTTTTCCATAGGAAAGGATAAAAGCATCTCCTAGAACACCATATGGAAGCTTCTTCTGTATGTTCTATTGTATCAGAACTGGGGTCACAGTATAGATTACGTAAATACAAATTTCAACCAGGAAGATGCTGTGGAAAAAGACTCAGACCTGAGAACAGGAGATCTAGGTTCCAGTTCACTTTATGACAAGACAGCCTTGTGGAAAGTCATTTATATTTCAGAAGCCATGTTGTCCATTAGAACTTTCCTCAATGATGGAAACCGTCTGGATCTTTGCTGTCCAATACCATGGCCACCAGCCACAGGTTCAGCACTTAAAATGTGGTTAGTGTGACTGAAGACTAAATTTTCGATTATTCTACTTTAATTAATTTGAATTTAAGAGCCAACTTTGGCCATTGGCTATAGAATTTGCAACACATGGTTCTAAAGCCTTAATTTTCTGCTTTCTAAAATGAGAATGGTAATTCTGATCAGACTATTGACTTAAGGATCAAATGATAATAAATGTGAACTCTGAAAAACTGTGAAATACTATCTGGGTGTTAATCAGCTTGACAATTAATTATCATTTTATCCTCAAGAATTTCTTTTTTTCTTTTTTTAGAGAGATTTTTGCCATAGGGCATATGTGCTCACCAGAGAGACAGAGACAGACAGGAGACAGAAAGCCAGAAATCACAAAACTGGGGGATGGCCATGTGGCAATCTGTTCTCCTCCATTCTCCTCACAGGATCTTGGGCATGAATGCACATGCACCTGGTATGAGTTTGAAGCCCTTGGATCCAGAAACGCTGTTGACTAAGTGTAAGTCCAGCGACGTAACCATTACATCTACTGGTCCCCTAGCCTCAAGAATTTCCAACATGGAATCAAGAAAATGGTATAAGTGCCCTGGAAAGTAGAGTTCTCTATGTCTGTTCCCCCCCCCTTTTTTTACTTTTTATTATTTATTTATTTTTAAAGGTTTTTACCTTACTGGTGTTTTGTGCTCTGAGAGAGACACAGAATGAGACAGTGTGAGGGAAAGTGAGAATCAACCGCTAAGGGGCATGGCTAGACCACAGTTCCTTTTCCTGTGGAAATTTTGGGCACACACGTGGGCCTGGCATTATTTTCAAGCTGTCAGGTCCTGAACTCTAAAGTGCAGTTCACCATGTGGGAGTCCAGCGCCTCAATCACCACACTATCTCCTGGCCTCAGCCTGCTCTGGACCCCATGTCTGTTTTTCAAATACAGTTTTGAGGCCCATAGATGGTAGAGAAAAAAAAAAAGAAAACATTCTGAGAGGTAGGCTAACTCATCCTTCAAGTACTGGCATAGAATTTCAGGAGTCTCCCTTGACTCTCCCAAACCGAGATAATGGCCTTCTTCTAGGGATTTTTTTTTTTTTTAAGAATTATTTTACTTAATTTTATTTATTTATTTATTTACTTACTTTCTTATTTAAATTTGACCAGGGAGAGAGAGAGACAGAGAAAGTAAGAAAGCAAGCTGCGGGAACCAGCAGTTAGCGTAATGGCTATGTCGCTGGATTCCCACGTAGTCGACCGCGGTTCCTGTCCCGGACCCCGTGGCTTAAAACTCACTCCGGGCCCGTGTGGGTGCGTGCCCAAGATCCCGAGAGGAGAATGGAGGAGAAGGGATTGCGGCGTGACCATCCCCCCTGGGGGGGTGATTTCTCGCTTTCTGTCTCTATGTCTCTCTCTGTCTGTCTGGCGAGCGCATGCGCCCTACAATGAAAATCTCTCCAAAACAAAAGAAAGCAAGCTGCCACGTTGGGGACTCAAAGGCAGTCAGTCATGTGGGAGTCCAGAGCCACTTGCCAGCCCCTCTTTCTTCGAGGTATTACAGGATACTTTTCAGATGTATTGTAAAAACAAAAATGATTAAAAAAAAAAACTAGAAAAGCAAAACAAAACAAGATCTGTTTAGTGTATCCAAGAGCACATGACTTTTAACTCTGTCTTTTCACCGCTCGGCCCACGGTAGGTCCTCAAGCCATTCTTGTTGAACGATTAATTTACTGGTTATTCGCGAGGGTATGGGTCCCTGAGATAACTAAGTACTTACTAAATCTTGCCAAGGACGAATCCCGGCTGCCGCAACCGCGCAGTTGGCTATCTCGGTGCCAGGGGCCCCACTAGGGAGGACCTCTCTTTCTTTCTCCCTCTTCCACTCTGGCATGCAGGGTGTAGAGGACTTGGCGGTCACCACCTCGCAACACTCGGCGCGGTGGTGGAGACCAGCGTGCGGTGGGGAGAGAACTACATTTCCCAGCTGACTCTCCTGTGCGCGTCCTTGCCCGCGCGCGGGGGGCGAGTGCACTGGGCGCTCGCTCCCTGCCGAGCGCTCGTCGCCCGCCGGAGCCTCTGCCAGGGGATGAGGTGGGAGGCGCTAGAAACCACTTAGCTACAGCCAACCGCCCAATGCAGCACTCGCTCGCTCCCCCCACCAGCGGAAGCGCACGCGG